GACTAAAGATAGGGGTAACAGTGTAACTGTCGGGTGTGGGATAAAGCTTTGAATTTTTTTTAAAATAGTGATATAATTCATTCAGACTTTTATTTCACGGTGACCAATCAAATCAAAGTGAGATTTAGGTTTAGATGGAATCTGTTAGTATCGCCACACACTATTAAACCAAAGTCACTGCTATAAAGTAAAATAAAGCTGCTAATGATTATCATTTAGAAATTTCTTGTAATTTCCATGTTAACCTATGGCAACCACATGTCAGGATCCCACAAATTTACTGTGCCCAGGCAAGAAGACTAAAACCCTCCAATAAAGCAACGGACTCGTATTTTGAATTCAATTTTCAGCTCAGTTCAGATTTATTTATAAATACAACAAAGGTCACTTTAAGGAAAAAAACGAATTCAAGAGGAAGATAATTCTGGCAGCGGGAGTACCCGGGGAGAAACTACGCGAATATAGTCCAAAGACATGCAGTTAGTGGGGACAGGTTAATTGGAAACACTAAATTGCCCATAGGTGTGAATGGGGGAGCGAATGCGATTGCTTGTCTCCAGTCTAAGTGTTAGCCCTGCGACAGACTGGCGACCTGTCCAGGGAGTACCCTGCCTCTCGCCCTAAGACAGCTGGGATAGGTTCCAGCTCCCCCCGTGACCCTGAAAATGATAAGCGGAAGCGAATGGACAGATGGATAATTCTGGCAGGGGCAGCCAACAACCAACAGTCAGTGCACCATTGGAATTCCCCAGCAGCATAACTATGGAAGCGTTTGTGACCACCTGATCCAGCCCTAACTATAAGCTTTATCAAAAAGGGAAGTTTTAAGCCTAATCATAAAAGTAAAGAGGGTGTTTATCTCCCGAATCCAAACTGGGAGCTGGTTCCACAGAAGAGGAGCCTGAAAGCTTAAGGTTCTGCCTCCTGTTCTACTTTTAAATATCCTAGCAACCACAGGTAAAGCTGAACCTCACTGCAATACCTTTCATCACACTATGAGAGAACATACTATTGAAAGAAAAAATAAATAATTTGATGGACACCGCAGTAGTCTGGACATTCCTGGCATCACATAACAGCTCGCCGCTAGATTTTTATATAACTTCTTGTGTTGACGTCTTTGGGACACTTTTTTTTTTGTCATTCGATACAGTTAGGAAAAGGCTAAAATAATTGAGTGTGTTTATGGATTTGTGAATAAATGGTCTGTCAGAGCACAGTTTTGTGCAAACACTTGTACTTGTTTCTAAAAGACCACCCCATATAATCAAAGTAGTTTACAGTATCAGGCACAACACAGATGTACCCTTTTATCCTAGAGATCTATAAATGGCTGCTTGTTGTTGCTTTCTGTTTAGCTTATTGTTTTTGGCCCTGCTAATACAAGCTCACTGTAGGCACTTTCAAGACTGTACTCTGGGTTTTGGAAGTCCTGATTGTTTCACTGTGTGTCTTCCAGGCATTTGATGATGCCATCGCCAAGCTGGACTCACTCAACACTGAATCTTACAAAGACAGCACCTTGATCATGCAGCTGCTCCGTGACAACCTGACTGTGAGTGTCTCCTCTTGATGAAACTATATTAAAATTTGGTTTTCCCTTATGCTTATACATGAGCGCTAAATTTATTATCTTGCACTTTTTAAATGCAGCTGTGGATGTCGGACCCAAGCGGTGAGGGCGGGATTGAGGTAGAAGAGGGGGAGCAGCCAGCTGAAGACAAGAACTGAACTTCAGACGAGAAAAGAAACCCTGCAGTTTTCTTTCCCCCCTTTTTTTTTTTTTTTTTTTTTTTAAAAAACCTCTCACCAGCCTAAGTTGTGTGTGTGTGGTTGTGTGTCCACATACATGCACAAATATGTATGTTTACACTCCACTCTGTGTGTAAAGTACAGTATGTGTGTGCAGATACATTGAAGCATTGAAGTGTATGTGTTAAGTGTATCAACACCTCCACGGGGAAAAGAATGGAATAGATTGGTTGTTTTTATTTTTTTTTTAACATAACTCATTGTGTGACCCAGTGGATGTTCATTTCCTTTAGAATTCTTTTCCTTTAAATAATTTTGTCTCTTTTAGTCCAAATGAAATCCCTCCTTTGGATCCAAATCTGCCCCATTCTCTCGAACCTTATTCACTGTAGCAAACCGCTGCTGTTGCAGGAAAGCAAACCAACCAACCTCGAAGTGTAACTTTGATAATAATTTGTATGTTTTTACTTGAACTGAACATTTACAACCTTTGTGACACTTTAGTCCACAAAACTCCTTTGAGGCATGTGTTAAAAGGGAAAAAAATGGTCACAGTAGTCTGAATTCATTACTTTTTTTTCTTCATCTGACAATAGCAGTACACACATACTGTTGGCAGGTTTCACCTATTACGGTATTGCTTGTATCCATACGGCCCTGTCAGTGTCCAGTGTAGCAGGTAGAGATTTTTTTTTTTTTTTTTTTTAAATGGATGGTACATGTGTCATGGCTCAATGGGTTTTTACAGTGCTTTCAGGCATAGGAAAGGTTTTCTATATGAATGACCACTTACAAAAGCTGTAATTTACTTTTGGTTTGTTGAGAGGGTTACATTCCATTTTACTGACATCTTTTCACTCATCAGTGAAACGAGTAGACTGTAATGTCCTGCAGTTTTGCATACCACGTGACAAGCTATATAGACAGCCTAAGATAAAGTTAACAACTTGATAAAATGGCTCGATACTGTAACTTTTGATATTTTATCTCTTCAGCAGTGCAGAGGATACTTTTTGCCATGTGCTTTTATGTGGCTTTCTACTCTTTTTCTATTCAGGTGTTTTTTGTATTTTCTTTTGTTTATTTTATTCCCTTATTGAGTATTGATTTGACTCCTGGAATGTATGTGGTTCTCAGTAGTCTGGTGTGAGGGTTAGGCATCGCTTTTAAAACTGGCAATCTCTGCTTAGGATTAGGTGGAATACAGTTACATTTATCTTCCTTGAAAGTACATTTTGAAAAGGCAAAATTTCAAACCATGGCAAATATAAAAATGAGAATTTTAGGTAAGTTGATAGGAAATTGCATTAAGGTCATTTAGTGATCACAAAGTAGTGCCAGTTTCTTCTAAGTACAGTATCTTGGTTTTAAAAAAAGTTGGGATGCAGGATTCGGCGAGTAACGCTCTTGGGTATGTTATTTGGTTATGTGCTTTCATGTAAGTGGAATTAAAACATTCAAATTAAGATGGTGTGCTCGGTTTCTCTGTTCTTTATGTGTGATGTGAATTGTTGGTTCACAGATTTCACGGAGACAAACCCACAAATGGCCCAAGCATGAAATAATGTTTAAAGCAAAGAAATGAGGGCTGTTCCATACAGTCATGTGAAAAGTTTCCACAGGGCTTCAAGCAGTCATGTGGGAAAAAGTCAAGCACATCCTATGACTCAATAGCTTGTAGAACAGACCTCGGCTACGTTAATTTGAACTTTATCACTCTCTCACATTGTTATGGAGGAATTTTGGCCCACTTTTATTTACAATGTTAGGGTGTTGCTTCAGTTCATGGAGATTTGCAGGAATTCACACCTCTGTTGAAAGTCCCACCACAGCATTTGAATGAGGTTGAGGTGTGGACATAACTGAGCCATTGTAACACCTTGATTCCTTTGTTTTTCAACCATTCTGTTATAGATTTCCTGCTGTGCTTGCGTCTGCAGCAAGACAATGACCGCAGTTTTGGTCAAACTTTAGTTATCAGACAAATCATTTTGGCATATAGAGGAGTTCATAGTAGGATGAGTGAGTGCAATTTGCCCATTTTAGGACTCCTCCACTGCCATGCGTAATCTTAATCATCTGTCCAAAGAACATTGTCCAAGAACTCATCCATCCTTGTTTCGACTCAATTAAACAAAGACCTACTGTACTCGTGTTCTTTTGAGAGAGAGAAGAGGGTTTCTCCTAAGTAAACTTTAAAACAAGCCATACTTGTTCCTTGTTCCGGCTGGGATGTCCACTACTGGGAAGGTTGTGGCATTGTGTTCACACACATGAATGTCAAAATGTCTGCTTTTATAGAAGCGCTCACACGTACTCGAGTGTATTTGATCATCTGCACCATAGCTGCTACTTGACCAATTAATTCCTATGGAAGATTTAAGCAATTTTAGGTGGCTGAAGTGAATAAAATTTGAATGGCATGTCAAATTTCACCCTTTATATGGGATAAAACCTTGTACTCTCATCATATCACTGCCTGTAGAAGAATTATAAAGCAGTTTGAGGTGCAAAATTAACACTAAAGATCAGACACAGCTGTATTCTGGTCTGACGAGAGATGGATGCTTCCTGGACTGAAAACACTGCCCTCTGCAGATAGTGATGTATTAAAGGGCACATGTGATGCATTTAGGTGGAATGTGGGAGAAAATATTCTCACTTATTCACTTTATATCTGTGGGTTGTTTTTTTTTGATCAGTGGGCCACTTCAGATCAGTGGGTCTGTTCACCTTTGATCAGTGACAGTCACTGAAGCTCTCTTTCATTTCTGTAAAGGTATCATTTAATGACTTAAGTCACTAAATATGTATGAAAGCTTAATAATGTAGAGTTAAAGGGGTGTGCATCCTTCCTTAAAACCCTTACATATAGTCCTAAATAACCTCAGACTCTTGCCAAATGAGGGAGGGGTGTCTCAGCCATGCCTATCGCAGTTTCAGTGTTAAAACTGATTAGCAGTTGGGAATGTTGCATGTATGTATATGAATATGGGCATTGCCTTTCCCGCCAGTTGATACTAAAGAGCGCGAATTTAGCTCGTTCTTCTGCATCATCACTTAACAAGAGAGCTTTCTGGTGGGCACAATCAGGCATTTTGAGGATTTAACAAAACGTTTTTCATGATTTCATCATCACGCCTAGAGTAGTGGTCAACGCCCCTTTGTTATCTTTTTTTTTTCTTTCTCTCTCGCCAAACAATGATTGGTCCATTTCGGTGACGCGCCCAGTCGTATATATCAGACAACTTCCCGAGGACTTCCTCCCCCTCAACCCCGGCTGTCAGTGCTGTGTGAGTGCGTGTGTGCTCCTGAGCTCGCTCGGCACACATTCTATAAAAAAATAAAAATACAAAAAAAATTTAAAACATAAAAAACGCCAAAAAATCTTTTTTTTTTTCGTTTACTTTTCTTTTTGTAACAAGTCGGTGAAGCTGGAGGAGACATTCGAGGACTGGACGGTAACGTACAAGCAGGGGCTGCCTAACGTATCGAATTTTTTTAGTCGACGTGTTACTGATTCCGTAGCGAGGCCAAGTACCGCTATATTTGCTTTTATTTCTGCATGTCAGGTTTGAATGACAGTTTTAAGCCAATAAGAAGTCGACGTTTTGCCATTTTAGCATCTCCGTCTTATAAATTCTTTTACCCGAAAACACTGCAACTGACTTGACTAGTCAACGGTTGTATCACGTTCTGCCCCGAACCGACGTGACGCTAGCGACCGTTGGACAACCGAGGTATTGGCTCATCGTCGCAAACTTTTTCTTTAAGAACATATAGCTTCGTACGATTATTCTACTAGCCTCCACAGCCACGGGAAAATGAACCCCAGTGCTCCCAGTTACCCCATGGCCTCCCTGTACGTCGGAGATCTGCATCAAGATGTGACCGAGGCCATGCTGTACGAGAAATTCAGCCCAGCCGGAGCAATCCTCTCTATCCGGGTCTGTAGGGACATGATCACCCGGCGTTCCTTGGGATACGCCTATGTAAACTTCCAGCAACCGGCGGACGGTAAGTAATTTATTTAAATATAACATTTGAGAAAATGTGCTTTATAAGAAATCAGTGACAAGTGAGAGCTAGCCTATTCCTACTACACGTGACTGCGGCCGACATGTTGTAGGTAGGGTCTCCTCATGTGAACCTCCCAGCAGTGGCGTAGCAGCACCGAGTCCGCCCAGCCCTCCCCAGTAATGTAGCATTGCTGCAGGCTGCCGAGCGAATACTTGGTCCACTTTTATCTCCCATCTGTGCGGACAACACCCCAACTCTTACCCTTAAAACGATTAGACAACAGTTTAGAAGTGGTGGTGTAAACATTTATCAGCATCAGGGAAAAATAAGTAAGTAAAATTTTATTTGTATAGAACCTTTCAAGACAAAAATCACAAAGTGCTAAATTAAACCAATGAGTCCACAGATCTCAGGCTTAAAGGAAGGGAAAAATAAGAGTGCTGACTTTCAAACAAGTTTTTATTTTTATTTTTTTTGCAAAATGCTTTTCTGTCTAGAGGCCACAAATCTGCCTCCATCCACCTCTATAAACGTTTTCTGCCTAACACTGTTTGAGCAAAGAGAAAAGGGACTCTTGAGTATGTTTCTAATCTTCAACAGCGATGGCCAGAATTTTGACCATGTTTCAGTTTGTTCAGATGTTGTTCCATCATCTCATATTTACCTAATGGTTTGACTCCACTTGTGTTCTCCCCCCCCCCCACCCACACACACACACACACACTTTATTTGTAGGATGTTTTCTGATTTTAAAGTTGTTGCCAGTTGAAATGCATATGTACAGCAATGCCTTCAGGTTTATTTGTCTAAGTTTGTGGAAACTAGTGGGGATGCTTGACAGCATCTAGATTCACCAGAGGGGTTTAATATTGAGATTAAGGTGCAGATGAACTAAGGTTAGCCCCAATTAATGCACAGGATGTAATATTTGCTGTGCTGCTCTCAGTGGGGAGAACGCAAGAGGTTACTAATGTACATATGCTGATGTACTTGTGACCAGAAGGACCAGTTTGAACTGAAGGAAGTCGATTAAAGCACCTACTGTGAAGTTGCCCTGGGGGATGATACCTGAAAGGAGGACTAACACATGCTAATGTGCCTTAACACCTTTACAGAATTAATGCTGCTTTCATTTCTTTGAAATGGCTCAGGGGGAAAAAAATCTTGTAAATCAAGATTTCTCACATTGGTTTGCTAAACAGCTTTTCACAACCCCCCCCCCCCCCCCCCTCAAGACTAACCTGCATATCAGCTGGTTACTATCACACCCAAACACAATGGATGACTCAGACCTAATCATTTCTTTTAACCCCCCCCCCTTCTCCGTCTCTCTTCAGCTGAGCGTGCACTGGACACCATGAACTTTGACGTGATAAAGGGGCAGCCTGTACGCATCATGTGGTCGCAGCGTGATCCATCACTGAGAAAAAGCGGCGTGGGAAACATCTTCATCAAGAATCTTGACAAGTCCATTGACAACAAGGCTCTTTATGACACCTTCTCCGCTTTTGGCAACATCCTGTCCTGCAAGGTAAAGCTTTTCTGCCCCTTTCTCTCCCTTTTGTTACAGGTAACCTGAAAGCAGAGGTGGAGGTGGCTCAGCAGGTCGTATGATTGTATTCGCATGCAAGAGCTCTACTAGAGACTATGTGCTACAGAGTTGTGAAAAGCATTCTCCCATTAACACATTTTTTCACCTTTTCTGCTGACACCGGAATACTCACTCCTCACGTCACGAAAGATGGAAAAACGCGTCAATTTGGATCTGTAGCTGCAACATAGTAATGTGGAGATGTAGAGAAAAACAGATTATAAGGAGGAGAGGGTTTGCATCCCTGAACCAGTCAGTTTGGATGTAAAGTGACACACTGGATCCAGAGAAAGATTTACATTCATTCATTAGACCGTATTTAGATGTTCTAATTGGTTTATTACAAATCATAATATGCAGGTTGTTTTTCAGGGTATACTTTTCGTGATAAAACTGGCTGCAAAGCCAGAAATATTAGAAAAGGTAACAGTGAGACAGGTTAGATTCAACGTATCATCGCTGGAAAAATGCACAACTCAAAATAATAAAATGCAGTTAGGCATCTGATCTGAATTTTAAACAATATATGTACATAGAATATTTCCACACAAATATACACAACCAATAACAATATAAACAATATAAACATTCATATACAATAACATGACCATATAATAATAACAATGTTTTAATGTGAGTGTGATCCTACAGACTGTTCAGGTTAAGTATACTTGTTGCTGCATGTTTGTGTCTGTGTGTGTTTTTAAAAGCTGCATGTGTTCTCTTCCTGTAAGGTGGTTTGTGACGAGAATGGCTCTAAAGGCTACGGGTTTGTGCATTTTGAGACTCAGGAGGCGGCTGAACGAGCCATTGAGAAAATGAATGGCATGCTGCTCAATGATCGGAAAGTGTAAGTGAATGTATTCACTGGCTTCCAGGTGTTTGGATGTATAATTTCTGAAAGCTGCTGAGTCATGTTAACCAACAGTGTTGGATGTTTCAGTGCAATGTTGATGAAGTTTGTTTGTGATAAAAGTGTATAGCTGTAATATACAAATAAGTCATAACAGTTATGCAGTAATTAAACTGTACAAATTTTTACTGTCCCCCATAATGAATGCGCTTGTAAGTTTTAAAATATCCTTTTAATGCAGGTTTGTGGGCCGCTTCAAATCTCGCAAAGAGCGCGAGGCTGAGTTGGGTGCCCGAGCCAAGGAGTTTACAAATGTCTACATTAAAAACTTTGGCGATGAGATGGACGATGAGAAGCTGAGGGAGCTCTTCAGTAAATATGGTAAGTCGGCGTGTCCCAACTTTAAAATGGTTTCAGCTGCTCCAGTGTTGGCATAAAGAGGTATTTAAAAAAAAAAAAAAAAAAAAAAAAAAGGAAGGCAATAAGGTTTTTTTGTTTCTTAGGTAATGCCATGAGTATCCGGGTCATGACGGACGAAAATGGAAAGTCTCGAGGGTTTGGGTTCGTTAGCTTTGAAAGACACGAGGATGCCCAAAAGGTGAGCCACGTTTAATTTCTTTCAACAAAAAAAGTAAACATCGTATCCGCCAGAAAATGTTCACAAACTTGACCCGATTTCATGCTTTCTTCAGGCGGTGGATGAGATGAACGGGAAGGAGATGAACGGCAAGCTTATGTATGTCGGCCGCGCCCAGAAGAAGGTGGAGCGACAGACTGAGCTGAAGCGCAAATTTGAGCAGATGAAGCAAGACCGCATGACTCGCTACCAGGTTCGTTTCTTCTTGACAAGTCTGCCCAGAGACCGCAGCTTTGTCAAATTCAGTGCTCCCTCTTTGGTGGGCTGCACTGGCCAAAATGGCTGCAACAGTGACACTGTAGTTCATGGGCCCCACTTTCCTTCACCGTGGATCCTGGGGATAAAAATGTGCTGCAGACAAAAACATCTGCTGGAGATCACTTTGTATATGTAGTGTTTATAAGAAGTTACAAGATTACTTTTGGTTATTTGCAGGGTGTTAATTTGTATGTGAAGAACCTTGACGATGGAATAGACGACGAACGTCTGAGGAAGGAGTTTTCGCCATTCGGCACCATAACCAGTGCCAAGGTATGACCAATAATAGAATTTTATGAGCTGGCACTAATGATCTTTTAATGCTCTCTATTATGATACTGGCAGTTGGTGACTATGTAGTATTTATAAATGCCTTTTCTCTTCTCTCTCAGGTGATGATGGAAGGAGGGCGCAGTAAAGGCTTTGGCTTTGTCTGCTTCTCGTCCCCAGAGGAGGCCACCAAAGCTGTGACAGAAATGAACGGACGTATCGTAGCCACCAAGCCGCTGTACGTGGCCCTGGCCCAGAGGAAAGAGGAGCGTCAAGCCCACCTGACCAACCAGTACATGCAGCGCATGGCCAGTGTGCGCGCAGTGCCAAATCCAGTCATTAACCCGTACCAGGCCGCCCCGCCGTCCGGCTACTTCATGGCAGCCATCCCCCAGGCCCAGAACCGTGCCGCTTACTACCCAGCTGCTGGCCAGATGGCCCAGCTCCGCCCGAGCCCACGCTGGACCACCCAAAATGTTCGACCACAGCGTGAGTATTCAGAGGTTGTCCTTCTGTAATATTTGTGTTGATATTTATTCTTGTTTTAAAAGAGACTTGAAAGATATGTTATTTTGTAAAATACAGATTGTCTATTATTTTCACCAATTATGCAAAAATCAGCAGACCACCTGCGTTTTGTGTCCATAGTCTACTTCAGTTGAACGGCTCATTTAGAGATGTTCAGAGACAGCACTGTTTCTTAATATAGTCAAATTCCCAATAAAGCTGTTTTCATTTACATACTTTTCACTTTATCTGGTCAGAAAGCAGAACAAGTATGAAAAGGAGCTGAAATGAGAATGAGATGTTTGTGCTGCTAAAATATTCAAATGCACCTTCTGGAGTGTGTGTTGGGCTTGAATGAATTTAACTAATGAACTATAAATGGGATATTAATAGCAGTTTGATTTTATTTGTCCATAGACTTCCAGAACATGTCGGGTGGAATACGTCCCTCAGGCCCTCGCCCTCAAACCTTCAGCACAGTGCGGCCTTCCTCCCAGGTGCCCCGCATGATGACCACCCAGCGAGTCGGTCAGTCCACTGACACTGTCCACACACAGTTGTGTCCTGTAACTCTTCTGCTTGTTAGTTATTATATTTCATGCTCATCCTTTTTCTTTTTTCTTTTTCTTTTTTCCCCCCCTTCAGCCACTCAGACCATGGGCCCCCGACCAGCCACTGCAGCTGCCGCAGCAGCTACCCCCGTGCGTGGAGTACCTCAGTACAAGTATGCAGCAGGAGTTCGCAATACCCAACAGCACATGAACACTCAGCCACAAGTTAACATGCAGCAGGTAGGAATGCTCATTATCTAGAACTAATGGCTTTTTTTCTGCCCTACAACTGAGGAAAAACTGGGATGTACATAAATTTTTTTTTTTTTTAAATTTCCAATCTTCCCAAAGCCTGCAGTCCACGTCCAGGGACAGGAGCCTCTGACTGCCTCCATGCTGGCTGCTGCTCCTCCTCAGGAGCAGAAGCAGATGCTGGGTAAGGTTTAGTAGCAGCTCTCCATGACTAAATGTAGCCTTAGCCTATCTATAGCAGTAGTACTGAGTACAGGCACGGCCTTTCTTTGTTCATCCTGTCTTTAAATCTCTTATGTGTCCCTCCAATAGGTGAGCGTCTGTTTCCACTGATCCAGAACATGCACCCCAGCCTGGCAGGCAAGATCACAGGCATGCTGCTGGAGATCGACAACTCAGAGCTGCTCCACATGCTGGAGTCCCCAGAGTCTCTCCGCTCAAAGGTCAGTACTTACGCAAGTTATTATCAACAATGTCAGGCCGTTAATTATTTTAAGAGTCTTCCTCTTAAAAAGGAGAGCAGAGTGCTCGCTGTTGCTAACATTAGGTGACCTGCTGTGTTTAGGTGGATGAGGCTGTGGCTGTACTGCAGGCTCATCAGGCCAAGGAAGCCGCCCAGAAGACAGTGACCAATTCAGCTGGTGTCCCAAGTGTTTAGGTATGACTTTTCAGAGCTGCTGTAACAAGGAGAGGCTAGTGCTTTCATTTCATTTAGAGCCTCTTGTAAATAGAAAACGTCACATCTTTTTTTTTTTTTTTTTTTTTTTTTTTTTTTTTTTTTTCCCCCCGCAGGAGTGTGGAACCTTGAGACCAGCTTCACCGATGGACAAAAGAATTTCACAGTGGGAAAAAGTTGAAAAACACACAAAACAAAGTAAAAAGAAAATAAATAATATATTAAAAAAAATAACAATGAAAACAAATCTCCAGCCCGGCCTACAATGAACAGAAACATCAGGTCTGGTTTGTTGAATGAAAGATGGGGAAAAAAAGGGAAAAAGTTCAAATAAAAAATGCTCAGTTTTGAGGGGTTTTAAAGGAGAATTCTGTGGAACAAAAGATTGAAAGCATTCCTTTCTGCCATTTTATCAATTTCTTTTTTGAATGTTTGGACCTGTTGTTGTCAATTTTCCCCTGACCTTTGCTTGCTTGAATAAAACGAATAATAAAACACATCTGTTACATGCTCTATCTGAGGCATCACTAGTTCACATTATGAAACCACCACAGAAGTTGTGTTTCAAGTCTTTTTCTTTATTTGTGCTTTTGTGACAGGAGGAACAGTCAAACATTAACAAGCACTGAAACACATTTTTAGGCTCCCTGATGTCAAGTCAGCCATTCAACACGAGCAGCTGTATGAATTCAGTCCACGACAAAAGATGGTGATGTGGTGGCACGTCTGCTAGAGAAGCTGATCATTTTCATTTAGTTGCCGATGGCAGCGGCCTGATCTCTCATTGTCTGGACCATAGCCTCCACCTGCTTCTGGAGGTTCTCAAACATGGGCTGCAACTGGGTGGCCAGAGGTTTGAGCTGCTCCTCCACGTTGGTGGAAGCGGCCCTCAGTTGTTCCTGGATCTGAATGGCCAGAGGCTCCAGCTGGGCTTTCCTCTCCTCCAAGAAAGTCCTGTTAGGGTAGAAAATGACTCACTGTTACATTTAGAAATCAGAAACGCACCACTGGCCATGTTTACTGGCAGGCTTCTTTACATGCTCACACCTCTCATTTATTGACAATCTAGGTATAAATACATGTAGAGTATGAGTGGTAGAAATACTCATATTTCAGCTACATGTACTGCATATTAATCACAGTAGTCACGGAGGATGGCTGACCCTCTGAGCCTGGTTCTGTTGGGGATTACTTCCTATTAAAAGGGAGTTTTTCCTTCCCACTGTTGCCAAGTGCTTGCTCATAGAGGGATCATCTGATTGTTGAGGTTTTCTCTTTATTATTGTAGGGTCCTTACCTTATAGTATAAAGCATCTTGGCGATATATAAATAAATCTTATTTTATTTAAAAAGTGCTTGATAATCATAATTACAAACTGCTTGGTTTATATGATCACATATTAATGACTATTTCATTTATATATATGCAAAAAAAATGCCAAGTAATTGTAAATAAATACAGTAACTAGTCTATTATTACAATAAGCTTCCCTGCACTTATCGCAGCTAGTAAAAACACAGATAAGAACATCTCTATCACACACGCAGTGCTCAGGGTTACTGTGTGGGTCTGGTCTGCCTTGCATGATTACGTTATCACTGAGAGGCACAGAGGAGCTGTTGGCTGGTTATTTAACAGTGGACAAAGTCCAGTTTTAATCATTCTGAACACGTCTACATGCGTGTGAAGACGTTTTGCAGATAGTTGGTTACTCACCGAGCCTGGTTGACCAGATCTGGGTTGCGGATGATCTCACTCAGGTCTTGAGGCATTTTGTTCTTCAGGTCCTCAAAGTACTGACTGAGGTTGTCAAGATTTAAGGCTTCCTGTGCAAAGCTTCCTGTTGGAAAAAAACAGAAATGAAATAAAGTGTTTTGTTTGTTTTTAAACTTCCCACCTTCCCCGATAGATATTTAACAAAAATGTCAAAATCTGGTCATACCTTGTGCCAGGGCGAGCACGACAACGGCGACAATGAGGGAGAATTTCATGACTGCTGACTGGATTACACCTGCACAACACATAACGTTTGGTGAGCAGTGCGCTTGAGGCGTTAGATGTTAAAAAGCAGTATTTGCCTGAAGTCACCCACAAAATCCACACCATGTTTAATCAGGTGAGTCAATGACAAAGTTATTGTCTAGGAATCCTGGTTTGACTTGTTGTCACATGGAAACAGAATCAATGTTTTGTGTATTTTTTCAAACTTCAGCAGTCAGTGATTATAGCTTATATACTCTAAACCTTTGAAATAATTTATCACAGAGAAAATTAAGCCTTGAAGCTCAACCTGGGTAGAAACTGTAATGAGGTTTTTTTTGTTTATTTTTAATGAGCTTCTTGCTTCTTTGGTTGTTAACTAGCAAAAGAAATGCTATAATTTACTTAAAGCACATAAAAAGTGCCTCTTCCAGAATTTTTATGTAAAAATATAACTTTAAGGATCAATCCTACACATGAGAGTACTTTTAAAAGTCATTTTCTTTACATTTCCAGAATTTATATTACATTCTGCTCTATTATTGCATTTAAGTAGCATAGTAAATGTTTGTAGGAGTTGGCTTATTTAATGCCTGTCTTTAAATAAACTTTTGCTGCCTCTGAGCTCTGCCTCACGTCACTGTTAAATGCTGACATTTCACATACTACGAGGTGCACTTTTACAGCAAGTCTCAGAAAATATAAACAATTTAAGGCTTTTTGGGGGAAAGGAGAGAAAAGGTTTTAATTCAAACCTATTAGAAAATAAATCAGACTCACCTGTGCTGCAGGAGAATGTGGACCAGATGGTGGCTTTACTCAGGACTCTTACACTTCTTATAGCCCAGGGTGATGGTGCATTCCTGTCAGACGGAGATCTGATTGGATGAGACAAAGAAAGAAAGAAAAAAAACATTACTGGATGCTGAACCTTGCTGCTCTGTCTGCCAGCTGGGCAAACCCAAGCAAAGTCCAACAGCCAACATGAGTGTGGCTCTTATCATGATGATTAGGCAAAAATATTTAATCATCAAGAACAGTATCAAGGTTACCACAGTGAGGCCAGTGAGGTTGGGGGAACTTTTGGTGACATCATCTTTAACAGATGTGATACGTGTGATTATAAAATCAGGGTTGATGTCAGTGTTGTGCTTCTGTGTTCATTTCTCAGTAAGATGTGCACACATTGTGAAAGCTCAGGAGTATATTGAGTAAACTGAGTTCTTATGACTGATTAGTTTATTGATGTGTTCTTCAGTGTGTGTACAAAGCACTGGACTCTTTGGTAAACTATGGAGTTCTCTAAAGAAAGACCACTTTGGTCCAGATCAAATCATCTTATTGGATAAATTCAATAAATCCATGTGTGGTTCACAGAGGTTAAATCAAAAATCTTGCCATTTGTATATTCTGTTTCTATAGTTCCCTAAGCCAGGAGCCTTTCTATGATTTTTGGACTGGGGTGGCACCAAACTAAAGCAGATGAAGAACTATTGAAAATCCATGGTGTAGTAATATGTAAGCCACATACTGAAGCACAAGTTTCTACCGTCCCGGGTTTTGTTATTTTATGTTCATCTTTGAAAAGTAAAACAGTTACAGGAAGCAACTAGAGACGACCTGGTGACATGAAACCAGCGAACAATGGGTGAAATAATATAGCTTTGCCTTTTAAGAAGCATAGGTGGTATAAAAGATGGACGCAGCTGTCGTGATGTCATCCATTAGTTAATTTAGTCCCGGTTTGAAGCCTTATGATGAGTCTTTTTGTCATTGGTGTTTCAAAACTGGATGTAATGATCAAGGGGCAGGTCACTGTGTCTGAATAATTCTGCTCTCTGAAAAAAGCTTCGTTTCTGTTTTTTAAATGTCCTAATATTTTATAATAATAAAATGAGTCCCAGAAACCACAAAGTCAACAGCAACATGTTAACGGAGATCATGTTTGAGAGCTAGTTTCTCTCAGACGTCTTCAGGACTGGAATTTGTTTTTGGCTTTTTTTTGTTTGTTTTTTTGCCATCACAGCTATCGCCCCCTGGTGGCCAGTACGAAGAATGGAGGTCTGAGTTACTTTTTGGCTTCACATCCACTGATCCACTGATCAGAGGCATGGACGTTATTGTAATTTGGGGATTTTAACTTTACATTTAACCTTTCATTAGAGAACAACTGGTAGTTTCTTTTTGACATCATAAAAACGTTTAATTATTGCAAGGTCTTTAGATAAACCTATACTCAGAACAATGGGAAAGTCCAAGGAACTCAGTAAACACATGACTGTGCATCTTATCACGCTGATTGAAGAAAACACTTGATCATAACTAACAGCGTCAGCATTACGACAGCAAGGCCATCTCTGAGAAGACTTTTGGTGACATTAACATCAACATATATGGCAATGGATTATCATAGGCTTGATGGCAGTGTTGTGCTCCTGTTTTCAGGAACTCAGTGAAGATCTAAGAAAGGGAATTGTAGATTTACACTAGTTGGGAAGGTCTCTTCAAGCCATTTCTAAACATAAATACAAGTTATTTGAACGTGGCACCACTCTTACAAGGTTTGGAGAAGACTCATACTGTCACCCTCAAATGAGAGGAAATTGGTTAAGATGTTCTGGAACAACCCAGGAACTACTAAGGCTCAAGCCTGTCATGAACTGCTGCCAGTTTTAAGTCTCCATGGACTGAGAGATTGCTGACCAAATAAGAAGTGTTGCCATAAAATCCACACCTTTAACCTCAACTAAAATTTGCTGCTGCCCACATGGACAAGCCAAATGCTTTCTGGAGGATAGCTTTATAGTTAGATGAGACAAAGATTGTGCTATTTGTCCACAATGACAAGAGGTATGTTTGGAAGAGTAAATGTAAAGCTTTGAAACCTAAGAACACTAAACTATACAAGCTGTCAAGCAGCTTGGTGGTAGCATCATGCTTTGGGGTTGTTTTGTTACCAGTACTGTTACATTGCGCAAAGAATAACGATGGAGGAGGACTACTCTTCAACTTCCCCTCAAATCAACACCTGAAACCTGGACACGGTTGGCTTTTACAACAGAGCAATGATCCCAAACACATCAAAATTGGTTTGGGAATGGATAAAGCTGGCTAACATTAAGCTTTAGGAATGGTCTTCCCAAAGCATAAACCTCAACCCTATTGAAACTTTGTGTACTACACGTCAGA